TTGAAATAAATTAAAAAATTAAATCAGACTCATCTATATTTGCAGTCTTGAGGATGTAGATTTTCTACTTAGCTGTGCTAATGGCATTTCAGTTTATTACATTAAAACATACTTTAAAAAGACATATTTAGCTCAGAAAGTGAATGTTGGTTAATTTTCCATTTTGTGCAAATCTTAGATGGCATTCAGTGTAGTTGCACTTGGAAGATCATGGGAGAAGTCACACTAATTGTACATAATCTAAATGTGGAAGGAATTGGAATCCTTTGGTTGTTAAGTAAGGTAACTACTGAAGTCTGTACAATCAGTCTTCATGTTAATTCCATGTTAGCACCAACTTTCCTTACATTTACTGTTCTCTCCTTACATCGCCAACCCCTGCCTGCTATGTCAAGGAGTCTTATTTCACTATAGTTTAGTGTTATAATGTGTCCCTAAGTAGCTGTATCTGGGTATCCAGGAGTCTTCTTCCACTATAGTTTAGTGTTATAATGTGTCCCTAAGTAGCTGTATCTGGGTATAAGGGGAGTTTCAGAGACGTAATCTCATCTCTCTCACTTCCTCTATTTTCACAGCCTTGTAACAATTTATGTTTTCACAAGGTCTCTCGGGAAAATTTCAGAAACCTTCATTCATCCATCCACTCTTTTCACGCTCACTCACTGAGTGCCCACATGGACCACACGTCAGGAATACAGGGGTGGGGTGGGGTAATAACACAGGACAGACTTGAGCCTTGGCCTCATGTCCCAGGGCCCAAATAAGTCTTGTGTGGCAGATGGACAATGTCTTTGAGAGTCCCTCAGGTGGCCCTCAGCTGATAAAATTAAACAGGGTGTTCTTTGCTTGGGAACAATAAAGTTCAAGTCAGGGCAGGATCAGAGACCCTCCTGACAAAGACCGTGGACAACCCACGTGAGATTTAGAAGCCCTTTGCCCTCCCCACTGTCCTGGATCTGTTCGCAGATGGGGCACGGAGTCTTGTGTGCAGGTTCTGGCATCTCGGCACTCTGGCTCCCACTGAGGTTTTCGATCTTCTGCTGGGCTCAGGACACTGTGTCCTTGGTCTTCAAGGGTCTTAGTAGTACTGAACTCCTGCACCTGGCACTTATGGGCAGAGTCATGGAATCTAAATGCCCTTGTAGTAGGGACTCTTTTCCTAACCATCCCTAACCACATTGGTTAATCAATGTTAGTCCCGAGTAAACATCTGTGAGTGAATGAAGCATGCGTAACACCCTGGCTCTCAAGCCAGGGGCCTGTCCATCGAGATACAATGGACATAAGAAAGCAGTGCCTCAGCCACCCATTCCTCCCTCGTCTTCCACCTTAGTCACCTGGGAGGACAGGTCCATGGTGGATCTGGTGGGAATGGCCATAGTCGAAGTAGCTCCCCACTGCCTGGGTTTTATTGCTTGTTGGGCCTCGGTTTCTTACTCTTGGGGGAGCCAAGACATCAGTTAATTTCTCAAAGCATCGTGCAAACAAGGAGAAAGCCCCAGGCCACGAGTGTGTCTCTGCCTTCTTCTACAGCCTTTGCCTTGCAGCTGCTTCCAGAAGCAGGAGTGTGCTTCCCCTGGCCCTCTCCCCCCACCTTGCCACTTCAGGAAGTAGGCTTACTCATTACTAGTTCAACTGCCCGTATCTAAACAAAATATAAACACATCTCTGCAATTATATTTCTATGATTGGTATTGTTGAGCACAAGCTGATTTGTTTGTTTAGCATCTGAGACTTTCACTTCTTAGCGGAAGCATCATGCAGGAGGGATACTTAGTATTCTTCTTTTGAAGAAGAACCTAAACAGCCAAAACTATTCCCCTTTTTTGCTAATTCCAATCTTGGGGAAATGATGGAAATGGTGCTTCCTAAGACACTAGTACTGTGGGAGGTGTCCTACTAAATACTTGGTAAGTTTGAATAGACAACAGAACAGGTTTTTTTACAGTTTTACATAAATATTAAGACCACCCTTATGCTGATGGATGCTGTTATCTTTCATTTGAATACTACTCTTTCTTATTTTCTAATTACATGTATATCTGTTATCTCTTTATCAATGAAGTCAGTAAGAACTATTATTAATCCATTACTTTGTTTTATTCTTGTAGATCACTTCACTGCACCCAGGCAGCTTTAAAAATAACTGTTACTCCTGTATTTGTATGAGTGTATACATATTTAATTTGGAAAAAAGTATACTTACAAAAGAGTTGGAAAGATAATACAGAGAGATCCTGTGCACCCATAGTCCTCAACCTGGGGGGATTTTTATCCCTCCACTGCTCCTGAGGGTATCTGGGAACATCTGAAGGCATTTTGGTTTTCACATTTGGCAGCCAGCGTGTAGAGCGTAGGGATGCTGCTATATTATTGTACAAAAGAATAGACAGCTTCCTACAAGCAAGAGTTAGCCAGCCTAAAACGTTAGTAGTGCTGAGCTTGAGAAACTCTGTTCTAGACCCTTCACCCATTTCTCTAATGTTATGTTAAATAACCATGATAGATAATATCAAAATTAAGAAATTAGCATTGGCTCAATATTGTTAAACTATGGAATTTCCCGTATTTCTCTTTTTTAAACTAACGTTCTTTTTCTGTTCTAGAATCCAGTCCTCTTTAGGCTGATCCAATCTGACAATTTCTCCATCTTTTTTCTTTGTTTTTTATGACCTTGACACTTTTGAAGAGATTTATAAGTGTTTCTCACCTAGGTATGGTACTGACCCCATCCATGTAGCATATCCAGGTAGCATATGGAAATGCGGTATTCTGTTAGGTTATAGCTATGACTGGGGAGTGCTGTGGCATTTAGAGGGTGAGGATGAGAGATAATGTGGTGCCAAGCTCAGGACAGTCCCACATAACAAGCAATTTCCCACTCAGCGTGCCAACAGCATCCTCACTGACACAGATCTCAAGTAGAGTGAATTGGCTTGTCTCAATTCTAGCAAATGACAGGAAGGAAACCAGAGTAAAAGCTTCATTTTTAAAGTTTCAGTACAAGAATTTTGTATCTAACTGTCTTCATTGAAAATGTTGGGTTTAATATTTTCAGCAACATTTTTATCTTTTGGAAATCTTTAGTTCTAAATAGATAACATTTTCATTTTATTTGCTGAGGTGCTATGTTAAGCATGAGTTACCTCCCAATGGAACCTTTGAAATACAATTAAAGAATTGGACTTCACAGTAAGGGATTAATGTAGTTCCATGGTGAGGGCGACAGAGGAAAGTATTTGGAGCCACAGTTGTATCGATGGGGTTGTATGCATCCTGCTTCCTGCTCTAATTTCCTTTATAGCACTTCTCCCCACCTGGCAGTGTGCATTTACTTGTTTATCTTCTGTCTGCCCCTTAAGAAAGCAAGCTCCGTGGGAGAAGGGACTTTGCTTTGTTGACAGTGTATTCTCTGACTCTCTAGAGGAAATACCATGAAATTCATGTTTGAGCTGTATTTCAAGAGGCTTTAGACGTAAAGAACACAGGCAGAGTATCCGAATGACCTCCTAACTGGTTCCTGGCCAGCAACGTTACTTTATTTTTAATTTACGTAAACGGCATGTGCTACACATAATATTCCACCTCCCCTCTCTTTCATTCAACAGTGCACTTTTGAGGTTTATCCTTTCATAAAAAAATGTATAGCTCTAGTTCAGTAGTTTCCCACTGCGGGGGATTTTGTCCTTCAGGGGCTATTTGGCGACACCTGGAGACGTTTCGATGGTCACCACTGGAGGTTGCTAATGACAACTCCTCGATGGAGGCCAGGGTCGCTGCTAAACATCCTGCGATGCACAGGGCGTCCTCCCAATATAGAATCATCTGGCCCAATAGCCCCCAAGTCAGAGACCCTGGGCTCCTCCTTTCCCTGGATCTGCACGAGCACTCCCGCGATCGCACGTACATCTCCCCAGTGTGTTCTCCTGACGCACACGTGGGTGTCCCAGTGCTCGGCTGCGAAGAACATCCTCAGCGCCGCGTGTGTGTGTGTGTGTGTGAGAGAAAGAGAGAGAGAGTGTGTGTGTGAGTGTGTGTGTGTGTGTGAGAGTGAGTTGCTGGTAGTCTCGCTGTTCTAGGAAATACTTCCAAATGCCGTGCTGGTAGTCTCGCTCTGTTCTAGGAAATGCCACTCCAGAACCACTGACCCACTGACACCCACAGCACTGCCCGGGGCTCTAATTCTCCGCATCTTTGCCAGCAGTTGATATTATTTGAGAGTGAGTTGCTGGTAGTCTCGCTGTTCTAGGAAATACTTCCAAATGCCGCTCCAGAACCACTGGCCCACTGACACCCACAGCACTGCCCGGGGCTCCAATTCTCCGCATCTTTGCCAGCAGTTGATATTATTTAACTTTAAAAATGTGTCAGCCTGAAGACCTTAAGTAAGTAAATCATTTAAAAATGTTTATTCTGTCTGATTATTAATCAAGGCAAGGCCATGGGTAAGTCACCCGCTGCAGCATTCTACAAAATTGGGGGAAATGGTTTTGCTAAGCACACACCGCTTCATCTTGCTCATCTCTCTACCTTTCTTACGTGTTTTAAAACCGCACATTCTGGGAAACAAAGCTTACCTGTTTCTGCCAGCAGAGGTCACTGTCCCTCAGTGGTTCTCCACCAGTGTGCTTTGTCTGCCTCTGTCTCTGTCTCTGTCTCACACGCACCCCACAGCCCCGTGGAATAGTTGGCAAGGATCGGACATATTTTGTTTTCACAATGTGGGTAGGCTGCTGGCACCTAGCGGTTAGACACCGGGGATTCTGCTAAAAACCTACAATGCGGAGGACAGAACCCACAAAGAATCATCTGGCCCGGATGTTAACTGTGCCCAGGTTAGACACCGGGGATTCTGCTAAAACCCTACAATGCGGAGGACAGAACTCACGAAACAACAAAGAATCATCTGGCCCGGATGTTAACTGTGCCCAGATGGGGAAACCACCGCGTGGGCGGAATCTTAACACATGAACCTTTGAAAGTCAGACTGCGACAACCTCCACAATAATAACGCTGCCTTTATTATTTAAAATACGAACCAACTTTGAACTATACAAACTGGGCTGGGGGGTGAGGGGTGAGGCACTTCATGATCAGTGTGCTCCTGGGGAAAAGGCAGGGTGGGTGGGCGGAAGGCAGGCAGAGTTCGCTCTCAGCCCAGTGTCTGCAGTGGGCTCTGCAGGCTAAGAGGAGGGGGTCCCGGGTTTAACAGACCTGCCAGCTGGAGTGGTGGGAGGTGACCTGGTGGTGTCAGCGACTCATGCCAGGATAGAGCAGTGCTCCCTACGGCAAAAGGACTGTGGGTTTGAGTCTCAGAAGGTGGTGGTGGCGGGGCCTTGACTCTTAGGACACCGGGGGGACATCAGGGCCCGCCGAGTGCTGATCTGCTCTCAGCTCCCCAGCCAAGGCTGTGACTGTGGCCTGCGCTGGTGGTGTCCTTTCAGCAGGTTGAGCGGCAGACGGGGGCGGCTCAGGGAGGGTGGCAGTCAGTTCGCAGGTCGGTGTCCTCTCAGACACTCTTCTCAGAGGCCCAGGCCTGGGCACAAAGGGAAGGGTCTCTCCGTTTTTCCGCACGGGCTTGAAGGCAGACGGCCTGCGCTCCGGGCTCAGGTCTCTGCTCGTGGCGCCGGGGATCTCGAACCAGAGTGGCCCGTCGAACTTCTTCCTTCCTTTCTTGCACTGGCTGAGGGCCTTCAGCACGGTCTCCCTGGCACAGGGGTCTGGGAGCTCCTGGACGGGTGCACACCTGTAGAGGCTCCCTTTGCGCTCGGGAGGGGCGATCGTCACGATCACCGGGCTGCGGATACGCTGGGGGTTGCGGGCATTCCGGAGCCACTGCCTCATGAAAGCCTTCTCGTTGCTGGAAAAATCGGGCCCCGTGAAGGACCAGAGAGGCGGCCTGCTGGGAAAGCGCCTCCAAGCCTCGGGCACCATCGCCCTGCGGCACCGGGTGTAGTTCTGGCTGGGCGGCGTGGTGGGCAGGGGCTGGTTGCAGACCTTGCATTTCAGGTGGACGTGAATGTCTCGGCACTGATCGCAGTCCCGCTGCTGGCCGGCGGGCCTGGGCGGTGGGGACTGGCGCGCCCCAGCGGAGGGCGGCAGCGTGGCCTTGCCTCTGCTCAGGTAGCTGCCCATGATCGCGGTGCGGCAGGAGCGGGACCTTCGAGGGGGACTCGGCTCCCAGACGGTCCTGCTGTGTGCGGACGCGAAGGGTGCAGGGGTAGGCTTACCGTTGCTATTCCGGCGCAAGGACAGCGCGCGGGGCGTCCGGATGCAAGGACAGCGCGCGGGGCGTCCGGATGCAAGGACAGCGCGTGGGTCGTTTGGGCGCAAGGACAGCGTGTAGCGTCTGCGCGCAAGGTCAGCAGGTGGGGCTTCCAGGTACAAGGACAGCGCGTGGGGCGTCTGTGCGCAAGGTCAGGAGGAGGGGCGACTGCGCACTGGAACTGTCCGGGCACCGGGTTGTACACGCGCCAGGCCAGCGCCCCACGCCCACCGGCACCTCACCAGATGCCCCCTGCTCTTGAGGCGAGGGGAACCTCCAGCTTCCTGCTGTGCCAGCACGGAGCTCCGGGCAGAGGGGCCTAGGAGCGCTTTGACGTCTGTAGTTGAAGTTTAGAGAGAGAAAATATAACAATTTCCACTAGGTTCTTAGAAGTACAGAACATTGACAGAAGTGCACTTTCATTCATTATTCTAAAAATGCACACAATACACTTTTAAGGAATGCTCTTTTAAGGAAAACGAATTTATTTTTATTGATAAAGGGGATTTGTTTTATTTTCTAGAATGGTTGCTAGGGTACGTTTTGCAATTTTAGTCTTAAGCAAATGCTGAAAGCAGTGAGGATTTTCTTTTAGTGTTGCAAAATGTTTCAAAAATCAGATCAGGCGAGAGCGAAGCAGCACTCCGGAGAGTTGGAGAACTCAGGTTTATCACACTGGTGGTCCCATAGGAGCTAGTGCTCTGCAAATCTGGGCCTGAGCTCGGTTGCAATATTCCTTATATAGAACTTATTTGGCATGGACTGATTGCTTAATTTGTCCTCAGACGGTTACAAAAGCCCAATAGTTGCTATGGGTTGCAGGCAGTTACAAAGAGTTACAAAATTGGAGAGTTGGGAGGGGGTACAGACAGTTAACATTTGTTGCTTAGACACAACAAGCAAAAGGGAAGATGAGTCTTTAGTTAATTTCGAGTAAAGCCTATGCAGCAAGCATATCTACAGAAGCAGAACAAAGAGCTGATTAGCCTTTTGAGTGAAAATTCCTCTTCATCAGCACCGACAACTTTGGTTTCATGTGGACTTGTATTTTCAATCTTCATCCATTCACAGGTAGATCATGTTGTCTCTGAACACCAATGCCACGTCTCTCCTTTCATTTCTGCTCGTCATGTTGGAGTAAAGGGAGCCATGCACATTTTCACTAATAGCTGAAAACACTGATGTTCAAAAACAAAGCGAAAGCTCTAGGGAAGTGATTATAGCGCTTAGGCTTGGAGGCTGGTTTAAAGTAGTGTGAATCAATCTCTCTTTGTGAAAATTTCCCTCAAAAGCACATGAAGAAGGCACTGGGCTGGTCCCAGAGCTGGGATGGAAGATGAACAGAAAGCAGAAGCCCGCAATCGGTCAAATCCAAGAGTGGGCAACATGTTCCATCCAGATCTGAGAGGTGGACAGCCGAAGGTGATGACACCAGATAGAGCTTAATGAGGAAACACCAGGTTTCTGGGGTGAGACACCAAACCAAATGTTTTGAGACATAGGGGTGTGGGAGCCAGTGGGTGCAGGTAATGAGACTCTTAACATTGTACCCTCACAGATGACTTTTTCCCACCTTTTTCGGCTGAATCCTTATTTAAGGAATGATCTCCAGGTATATGATTTTGAAAACAGAAAAGTTACTATAATTTTCTTAGGACAATTTTCATGAATGAAATGACTCTTCACACATAGCTAACATATCTCCTAAGGTAGTAATTGCATCAGAGTGAATAGTCTAATGCCACTGGGTATAGATTGCTTATAATGTAATTTTTCTAATGTTTACAGTATTTCCCACATCCTATCTACAATGTAACCCAGTGGGTGTCATTCTGGTTTGAGGCTAATGACTCTCCAAGGAACCAGTCAGTCCTCTGCTGGTGAGCTACAGGCATAAGTGAATCACCCATATGCAAATCGACATGTTAATTAATTAAAAGCTGTTTTCATAGACACTGAAGATGCCTGTTTCTTCTTTTCAAGCACCGAGAGGATTAATGGATTTCATTAGTTAGTTGATTTTGGAGATTAGCATACATCAGTGGTGCTCAAACAGAGTTGAGTTTGCAATGCACGTTAAAGAAATGTCTGGAGACATTTTTGGTTGTCACTGCTTGGGGGTCTACTGGCATACAGTGGGTAGAGACACAAGGAATGCTCCTAAACATCCTACTACAGTACAGCCCCCCACCACATAGCAACTGGTATATTTATTGGGCCCGCATAAAATTTATGGAGAATAAATAATTCATGGAGAATAACGATTAGGAGGGATTGATATCAAAGGTATCTTTATGTCTTCCTATTCAATAACATGGTATGAATTTTATTAATTTGAGTTTATTGTCCCTTAGAAATGTTTTACAGTTTTCTTGTTGACATTTTGTGTTCATTCCAAGGTATTTTAGTTTGTTAGTTTCTATTATAAGTAGGGCTCTTTCTTCCATTACATCTTCGAATTGTGATTTACATATGTCAAAGGAATTGATTTCTATAAATCCGGTACTCCACTAATTGTTTCTTTAATTTTCTTTATCTCTTTTGGTCTAACTTTATTGGCTACTACCAGAATTTAATATTTAATATGCCAATAACAGTGGAGTTAGTAGAAACCATTTCCACATGAGGCATACTATTTACTTTTGAGCTGAGATTAATCTATTTTATCAAGTGAGAGAATTCTCCTTTCATTTGCATTTTATTAAATTTAAAAAAAGATGACAAATTTTGTCAAATGTATTTTAGGAATCTAAGGAAATGAAAATGTGAGTTTTCCCATGAGATTTGCTGATGGGCTGAAGTATATTAATCACAACCATATCATTCTTAATATTGAACCATCCTTGGAATACTGAAAAACATTCTACATTTGGACAAAGTATATATTTCTTCTGATGTACTGTTGGCTTCTGTCCCTAATATTTTATTTAGCTTTATTTTTTTCTGAAATATTTGAGAGATATTGGCTTATTGTCTACTTTTTTGAGCAGAAGGGATCACAATATTTGATGGGTTTTGGTTTCATTGTTACCTCGGCTTCGAAACATAGAATTTAGAAGCTTTTGATCTCGTGAAAAAATTTTAACCAATAAAAATCCAATATAAACAAGTAAAACAGTTATTATTGTAGATGTTTATTAAACACGGTTTTGTGTGTTGATGTATTAACCACCACTTAAACTTAGTTTCTAAAGTAAAAACATATACCAAGTCTAAACTCTTAGAATAAAATTTCTATATAGGCATTGTTGGGTTCTATCTTTACCCTGAGATTCCACGGTAAAAAGGAAATTATAGGGTTTTAAATCCAGCTATTTACAGCCTTCATTTTTCCATTTAAAAGTCTTAATTTTTATAGAGATTCTTCTCATTGCATGTATAGTAAAACGTATGTCACTGTCAAGAATGAAAGTAAAAAGGTTATGTTTTTCTCTGTTTTAACTCCTCTCTCTAGTTAATCTGAAGCGTTTCCTAATTCACACCCAGATCAAGACACGAGCACATTTTAATAAAAAAGTACAAGCCCTGGAAGATGTTAGAAACTTACAAAAATTGACACCAGAGTTTGAGCCCAGCCCTGCTGAAATGGCGCAGACCAGCCTTTCATACGTGGGAACGGGGCACGAACGTACCTGATCATGATCGACCTCGACGGGCTGCTTCTTAATGATCCAGGTGACGGACTCGGAGAGAGGCGGCGTGGTCAGGGATCCTGAGTAAGTCCAGTAATCCGGGCAGCTTGGCATCAGGCAGGAAGGGTCGAATGACCCAAATTCCACACGGGCGTCCTGGCC